GACTTGCATTGTATCTTTATCATAAAGTATTATCCTAAAACGTAAAAAGGGCGAATAAAAAACTATGCTTTAGTTTATTGTGATTTTACTTTTATTTTGTTGTTATTTAAATTTATAGTAAATATATTTAGTTTGTTTTAGATTTATTTCTAGTAAGATATAAATATATATTGAATTAATGGCATAAAAGTAGATACTAGACAGGAAAAAAATATACGCGAAACCGGCGGTTTAAAACCGGACTAAACCGTTAGGTTTAGGTTTGAGTTTTTTTTCAAATCGGTCAAAACGGTTTGGTTTAGGTTTGCGTTTTTCTCAAACCGGTCAAAACGGTTTGGTTTGAAAATTTGTCAAAAACCGCAAAAACCGAACCGCTTACACCCCTACTGGCAACGGCTCCAAAAACTTGTTCATGTGAAATCTGCAAGTGTACGGGATCGTTGGACAAGTAATAAAATATGTGAGTTAAGAGTATCTTTCCCACGAGGAGTAATGTCTATTTTGTAATTTAATAGTTACTATTAAATTCGAAGTGTGATTAAATTAAAAGAGATTGTTCGTATATTATTTATACAAATCCTTAACTATTAAAGCAAATAAAGTGTTTATCTAATATGTGAATGTTTGTATTGGAATTGTAAATCCCCTATTGCTATTTAATTCAATTCTTAATTTAGTAAATTTATGCATTCAAGACAATCGATAATCCACTCTTATTCAATATTATTTTCCAAAATATATTAAACTTATGTTTAACACGACCCGATTTTATTCCTAATCCGAATTCATATGAAAAATATGCATTGAATCACAGGATTTATCACACATGATTGCACGGTCATAGATATTATTCCTAATACATATTGTCCATGTGTTGATTTTGCTGCGTTCTACATTTATTGTGAGTATTTTTATATTACAAAAAGTAACTTACTATCTAATTGGTGATCAAGCAATCAAATAGTTCAATAGTAATGCAAAATTAATCAAGAAAAATCAAGAAATACTAAACTAATTGTCTAGAATTAAAATTTTTTAAAAAAAATAATAGGATTCATTGTTCATCCAACACAATGAAAAACTTAATATAACATTCTTATAATTAAATTACACAAGAATAATTAGAAAAACATCACCCGAAAATAAGAAAGATCAAAAAAGTACGAAAAATCCACGTTCTTCACTCAAATCTTCAAACCGGGATATGAATCTTCATAATCCTTTTATGATTCGTCCAGAATTGATGTATAGACTCATTCTTCGCCTCCAAAATATGTAGAATATGATGAAATTTAGGTTTAATGGAGG